TCAGAGTGTTATTCTTTTTATTTACAAGTATAGCAGTTAGAGTATTAGGAGATTTAAGAAGACGGGAAAGGGACTGAAGATATGGGTGTGTCGAGTGCATTTATGATCTACAACAAGGACGAGCATCATCACCGAGCTCCCGAGTACCCATCAACACTGCACCACAATACAGAGATGGCCCATGCTGCTCCCCTGGGCTGGCCAAGGGACCCCCGTCACTAGGGCAGAAGCCTGCGGGCTGTGGCTGCTGAGAGGAAGCGCTGGCGCATCCTTTCCCCAGGCCTTCCCTCACAGCCGGGCACAGGCACGCAAGAGCGAGGCCTCCCATGGACGTCCAGGGTCAAGTTCAGGAAATCGGTAGTAATTCCCTGAATCACATAAGGCCTTGATGTGAGAACTATGGGAATTGTGCGTGGGCACTAGTTTTGAGACTTGTGAATTTATAAGACAAAACTGACAATTTTCAGGCTACAGATTTAAATCAAAAAAACATTTTCCTTCCATATTCTGTTAAACATGTCAGGTGCAATTCTGAAAGGAATCTTATTTGATTAATCACAAATCAAAATAGTCAAGAACTCCTTTAAATATCTGAGAAATATTTTATTCCAAAAGAATAAAAATAAGTGATCAGAAGACAAATGAATAAATCACCAACTCTGAAGACTGAGGCTGGAAATACACACCTCCGGGGTTTTAGTGTCAACACAAATCCATCCTACCACATACCCAGCTTTATCCTCTCAGGAAGCAGAAGACTGATAATTTATAACAATGTCACTGTCACTGTCCTCCCGTTGTTCATCGATTTGCTCGAGCGGGCCCAGTAACATCTCCACTGTGAGACTTGTTGTTACTGTGTTTGGCATATTCAATACATCACGGGTAGCTTGCCAGGCTGTGCTGTGTGGGTGAGATACTCTAGGTAGCTTTCTGGGAGGGAAAGCTAGGAATCGAACCTGGGCCAACCAGGTCAGCTGTGTGCAAGGCAAACCACGCTACCCACTATGCTATTGTTCCAGCCCATATAACAATGTCACTTAATCACTTAATCCCCATTATTCATTGATTTACTCGAGCAGGTGCCAGTAAATCGATATAACATTATCAATCAATAATTGATATAACAATGTATCAAATTCAAATTCAGCTTTGCAAAATAAATATAGCAACAACTCTTAAAAATATTACATATGTATTAAAGTTTATACGACAGTACATATGATCTGATGTGTGCATCAAACATTTAAACAAATAAATATGCTATAACTTTTTGTACCACAATGAAAGTTAAAAGTTAAATTATCTATCCTCCCCCCCCTCTTTCCCCCCTGGTTTTTGGGTCATGCTTTGTGGTGCTCAGAAATCCCCCGAGAAGTTGCACAGGGGACCACAAGCTGTGTCCTGCACCGAAGTGGGCTTCCCGCACGGGGAGCACTGCACCCCAGCCCTTGAGACCATCTGTCCAGCCCTCAAATAAAATCTTGGTGATACGTAAGAAAAATAGCATTCAAAAATATAGCCTTTAATACTATTTTAAGCCAACCCCCTCGATAATAACAATTAGTTGATTTCTAAGAAGAAAAGTAATGTTCACAGGAGAATTCCAGCACTTTCAGGAAATTCTAAGACAAGCTTTCTTTGCCCCGCCCTGCCCCCACATGGACCACACTGCAGCCGGGTAAGCACAGTGCTGTGGGCATGAATGGAGTCTGCGTGTACCATGCGCCGGCACAGGTGAGGTGGCGGTGCCTCATTTGCTCAGATTATAATATAAACCCAGACGAAGTGAAAAGGCTGCTGGGAGGGAGTGGGAGAGAGTGGGCGGCTCACGGTGAGGGTGAGCTGAGCACAGGGAGGCTGGCCTTGAGCAGAAGGGGGCAGGCCAGGGGAAGGAGAAGGCTGGAGAGTCAGCTGTTCAAAGAGAGGCTGGAGAAGCACAGGAACCTTTCAGAAACTCCTTTTTGTTCAACAATAACCTGCTGAAGATGATCTGGAGCTCACAATTTGTCAAAAGACAAATATGCACACAATTTGGAAGGGGCAGGGAGAGAGGGGCCAAGACTCTTGCAAGTCACGCCACTTTCAACACAAGGGGGGTGAGGATCCCAGGCCGAGGTGCCGGGCCCTGCGCATGCGCTCACTCTCCCTGGCTGGGAAGCTGCTCTTTCCCCTGACGCTGGCCCTGCTGCTCCAGCCTCCCACACCCCTGCAGCCACTGGACTCTGGCTGTCCTGGCTCCATTGCTTCCCTGGAGAGCTACAAAACCATTTACAGGTTAATCGGGGCAAGAGGAGGGAGCAAAAAAGTCTTCGCTATGTGTCTCTTTGAAGGGTATGGATCTGATCTCAAGTACCTATTACTGAACAAAAATATAATTTTATTAAAGTGTGTTTGGCTATCTGCCAAGATTAATCAAAACTGAGTTACATCAGTTCTGAAATATCTTGTCTTCATCTGAACCACCATTTCTTGGAAACACTTGCACTCAAGTCACTGAATCTGTTTGCTCAACTGGCTCATTGAATCCCTCTTTCATGCCCTGCTCCAACCTTTTCTAAGTCCTCCCCATGCGCCAAGCACAATGCTGGGTGCTGAGGACTCAGAGCCAAAGAAAACAGGTCACTCTTGACTGTTCTAGCCATTTTCGATAATTACCACACCATGTCCCGCCAGCACAGGCAGAGCCTGGCAAGTTCCCCATGGCGTATTCAATATGCCAAAACCTGTAACTATAACAGGTCTCATTCCCCTGACCCTGAAAGAGCCTCCAATCATTGGGAAAGACTAGTAAGAGAGGCTGCTGAAGTCTCAGGGCTGGGACGAATAGACACATTACTGGCGCCCGCTCGAGTAAACTGACAAACAATGGGATGACAGTGATGCAGTGATACAGTTTTACCTATAATTTTTACTCCACAGCATGGCTGCAAAAATGAAGTAAGTTAACGTGGTAAACTAGGATACACACTGGCACTGGGGCTGGCGGTGCCCAGGGAAGCTGTGCTGGGGACCAAATCCAGCCCTTCAGCTACCTCCTGTGCCCTAGAGCTTCGGTGAAAAGGGGCAGAACCTCCACACAACTAACTCTTAAGAGGCATATAATATAACCTATAATACAGTGCTTTCAACCACGGAAGTCCACAGCGGTGAAGAGGCGGAAAGCCAGTTTTAAAGGAATCCAATTAGCAAAGCAATGGTGTGTTATAAGCAACAAAGGTTACTGAATCTCAAATGTTAAATAGAAAATAAACATGGATTTCAAAAAAATTAAAACCTTCTTAAAACCATTTAAGACTCCCAGTCGTAGAATATAAAAGCATCTTTCATGTGTAGCTGCAATTCTAGCTGACACCGACAAGAAGATGGGTGAATAACACCGGTAAGACACAGCGACAGCTCCTAATCAGCTCACGGTCAGAATCAAAGCTTTAAAAAAAAGCTCACGCTGAATATAAGCTGTGTTAGTTAAAAACACAGCCCAGTAGGTGATGGACTGTCCCACGGAGCTGCGGCAGCTCTCCCCCACACCACAGAGAATGGCCCACATTCAAAAGAACAAAAGCAACCTCTGTTGGCGCAGTTGTGGCGAGAAAGGGACCCTCCTTCACTGCTGGTGGGAACGCCGACTGGTTCAGCCCTTTTGGAAAACGGTATGGACAACTCTCAAAAAATTAGAAATTGAGCTCCCATTTGACCCAGCAATTCCACTCCTGGGAATATACCCCGGAGAGGCTAAAAAGTATAGTCGAAGTGACATCTGCACTGTTTACAATAGCTAGAATATGGAAAAAACCTGAGTGCCCGAGAACAGATGACTAGCTGAAGAAACTTTGGTATATCTATAAAATGGAGTACTATGTAGCTGTTAGAAAAGATGAAGTCCTGAAATTTACATACAAGTGGTACTACATGGAAAATATTATGCTAAGCGAAATGAGTGAGAAAGAGAGGGACAGACATAGATAGCATTCATCTGGATAAAATAAAGTAACAAAATAAGAGACTAACACCCAAGAGCAGCTGTGATAAATACCAGGTTGTTCACTCCATGACTCAGAGGTCAGCTTCACACTCTAGGGGTAAAGGCAGCTCAGACAGAGAAGGGAGCACCAAATAAAGGGTGCTCTGCCCAGGATGGGAGATGCCTGCTGAAAGTAGTCCATGGACTGAACATGATTGCCACCCAATGTCTCTTCTGCAGACCACAGCACCCAAAAGGAGAGACAGAACAAAAGGGAGTGCCCTGCCATAGAGGCAGCGTGGGATGGGGGATGGGGGGTGGGAGGGATACTGGGATTGGTGGGGGTGGAGAATGGGTACTGGTGGTGGGATGGGTACTCAATCATTGTATAACTGAAACCCAAGCACAACAACTTGTAAGCCTACAACTGTACCTCATGGTGTTTCACTAATAAAAAAAAATTAAATAAAAAAAAAAAGCCCAGGGCTGGAGCGATAGCTCAGAGGGTAGTGTGTTTGCCTTGCACACGACCAACCCGGGTTCGATTCCAAGCATCCCATATGGTCCCCTGAGCATCGCCAGGAGTAATTCCTGAGTGCATGAGCCAGGGGTAACCCCTGTGCATTGCCAGGTGTGACCCAAAAAGAAAAAAAAAGCCCAGAACTCTCTCAATTTTTCTCCTTATTAAGCAGAAAGAAGAAACATTTTAAAAAATAAGCCGGGATAAACTTGGGGCTGGAGTGATAGCACAGTGGGTAGGGCATTTGCCTTCCACGTAGCCAACCTGGGTTCGATTCCCAGCAACCCATATGATCTCCTGAGAACCGCCAAGAGTAGTTCCTGAGTGCACAGCCAGTAGTAACCCGTGTGACCAATTTTCTAAGCAAAATCATAAGATACGTTTACAAAACACATTTTACATTTGTCATGAAATTCAGGAGAGCAGGAGAGTATGGAAAGAGTTTGGCTGGTGATCGGTCACCAGCTGGTCTGGAAGTGCAAGAGCAGAAAGTGGAGCTTTTCAATCATTTCCTACCTGCTGGCCATATTCCATTCCAGCGCTGGGTTCTGGGAATTTCTCTCAGTCTCTGTGAGTGCCCCGCCTGTGCAACTATCCTTCTCTGGTTTCAGCTGGTCCCAAACAGCAGTACCAATATTGATGGACTGCAGGTCTATTTGGTATTGTCTATCTTCGATTTCTGATCCAGGATCTCGAAGAATTCCTAAATTCAAGGCTCTCCTGTAAAGGAAGTGAAAAAAGTAAAAAGACAAAATGAACGTTCTATGTTTACGCTGTTCCCTAACATCATGACATTCCCATGTCCCACACCCCTCCCGATTTATGGACGAACACAGTGGATTCATCAAATCGATGAGGCAGGGACTAGAAATATGTTACAACTTGAAAATGTATACAAAATTATCATGCATAGCACTTTACCTTATGTTGACATATTAAGCTATCCCCAAGACTTTCCTGTGTTTCTAAGTACTCTTGCATACTTTATGACTTTAATCATTTTGATATGGCATGTTTCTATTACGATGGCTTCATCACTTATCACTTAACTTCCCGTTAGTCGTCGATTTGCTTGAGCGGGCGCCAGTAACGTCTCCATTTGTCCCTGTCGCGTGCTAGTGTAGCCCAATGGCATCTGTTCGCTCTGGGAACATGAAGGGCCTCAAACCGATCGTTCATGATCTTGACGAAGAAGTCTGACCATCTGGTAGGTGGGCGGCCACGCAGTCTTTTGACATCCCGTGGAATCCAATCAGTAACAGCTCTAGTCCAGCGGTCGTCTTTAAATCTCATTACGTGACCAGCCCATCTGATTTTTGACACCTTGGCAAATGAGACAGCATCCCTGATTCTTGATGGTCGACGGATGTCGGAACTCCGGATTCTTTCTCTCATTTGAGTGAAACGTGATATTCCAAGCATAGCTCTTTCTATTCTTCTTTGGGAGACCTGAATAGCGTTCTCATCCTGTTTGCGTAGGGCCCAGGTCTCTGAGGCATATGTTAATGCAGGAAGAACAGTGGAATCAAAGAGATGTGCCTGGAGCCGGAGGTTCTTCGTCCTCTTAGCTATTTCTTCGACGTTCTTGAAGGCGTTCCAAGCCGCTCTCTTCCTCCTGCGCAGCTCGGGTGTCAGGTCATTTGTCATGTTGACTTCTCGACCTAGGTACACATAGCTGTTGCATTCGGAGATGGTCATTCCATTGAGAGCGAATGGGGCATCAGGAACGAGGCTGTTTCTCATAAACATTGTCTTCGTAAGACTCAGCTGTAGACCGACCTTTCCACACTCATGGTCGAAGTCGGCCAGCATTTGTGCCGCTTGGCTGATGTTTGGTGTTATTAAAACAATGTCATCAGCAAAGCAGAGGTGGTGTAATTGCCGACCATCTATCTTCACTCCCATTCCTTCCTATTCCAGTTGTCGCATGATGTTCTTGAGGGTGGCACTGAAGAGTTTCGGTGAAATGGTATCACCCTGCCGAACCCCTCTCTTGACATCAATGATCACTTCTTTGTAGAATGGTGAGATCCTGGTAGTGAATCCGCAATACAGCTCACGGAGGATCTTGATGTATTGGGCTTGAATGCCCTGATTGGCTAGGGCTTCAATGACCACTTCCGTCTCAACAGAATCAAAGGCCTTCTTTAAATCAATGAACGTTAGACAGAGCGGCATCTTGAACTCCCGAGAAACCTCAATGAGCTTGGTTATCGTGTGGATATGGTCGATGGTGCTGAATCCTTTGCAGAACCCGGCTTGCTCGCATGGTTGTCCTTCATCTAGTGTTCTGCCAATCCTATTTAGGATGACTCGAGTGAACAACTTGTAGATGACAGACAATAGGCAGATCGGGCGATAGTTGCCAATGTCATGGATGTCTCCCTTCTTAAACAGTAGTACGGTCCTGCTGGTTTTCCACTGGGACGGAACCTTGCATTCAGACAGGTAGCGAGTGAAGAGCCAAGCCAGTGTTTTGATGAGTACTGATGGCAGGTTCTTAAGGTGTTCAGGTCTGACCTTGTCTGGGCCGGGTGCTGTTCGTTTCTTTACCAACGAAATGGCGTGTCGGATTTCGGAAGGGAGAACATTGGGAACGACATATCCATCCTGTGGAATTTGGTATGTCGGCAAGTGGACATGGCTATCGAAGAGATTTGAGTAGAAGTCATGGATAATCTTCTCCACTGCCCTTCTGGAGGATGTGATGGATCCATCAGGACGTCGGAGGGCAGTCATCTTGGTCTTGTAGTTGGCGAAGGACAGGCGGGCGTTACGAATACTTTTCCCGGCTTCTGCCGCCTCTACCAGTACTTCGGCTCTTCTCTCTTTCAGGTCTTCCTTGATCGCATCTCTGCACTGCTTTGCGAGCTTGGACGTTAGCTTGCGCTTGCCTGAGGCATGCGCCAAACCACGCTGGCGAATTAGCTCAAGAGTTTTCGAAGACAGGCGTTTTTTTGTGGCTATCCCTCTCTTGGCGTTCCTCGCACATTCATGGAGGTGCTGAACCAGTCGATCATATTCCTCGTCAATGTTGTCAACAATGGCATCTTCCCATGTTGCCGCAATAGTGCCAAAGAGTTCCCAGTTGGTGGTCATTCTGGGAGTTCTCTTTTTGAACTTTGCAGCCCTTTCTCCCCGCTCTGTGAAGTAGAATTTTGCACGAAGGAGACGGTGGTCCGATCCCGTTCGAAATTTTGGGACAACAGCAACATCGGTCAGGCAAAACCATCAATTGAATATGATGTGGTCTATTTCGTTGTGGAATCGTCCACCGGGAGACTCCCATGTCCAACGTTTAGATTCTGCCTTGTGGAACTGTGAGTTACCATGAATGGTCTTGGTCGACATGATGAACTCAGACAGTCTCTCACCCTGTTCTTTCCATTCTAGGCCATGGGTCCCGATGTGAAGTTCTTCAGCTGATCTTCTTGGTCCTATCTTGGCATTAAAATCACCCACAATGATCTTGTAGAAGGTGTGGTCTTCTTTATAGAACTTCTCCAGCTCCATGTAGAAGTTCTCAATTTCTCTTTCATCATAATGAGATGTTGGTGAGTAGACAATGAAGATAAAAACTGCAGGCAGTGAGCCACATCTATTCAAATGTAAATGTCCGATTCGGGTTGTTAGGCATTCGAATGAATCAATGCTCTTGGCCAAGTTTGTGTTGACAAGGACACTGACGCCTCCGACACCTCTTTTATCGCATGTTCAGAGGAACAATTCTTCTCCAGTGTCGAAAACGGCATGGTGAGATTCGTGCCTTCTTGTCTCGGTCAGACCAATGATGTCGTACTTGATCATTCGCGCTTGAACCATCAATACGATGGCTTAGCCAAGACAAAATAATTCAGAGTGATTGAAAGACTGAACTGAAGTCACAAACTAGTAATCGACAAACTGACATTTTAATTTGAGTAGTTTTTCTCACTCAAAATTTAGTTGACTGTCCAATGTTAATTAATTGCCCGAAGTCCTCTGATGACCTGTCAGAAAAGTGACAGAGCATGGTGAATCTCACTCTTCACTCCTTGCCTTTGGATAACACAATTGTCAAAAAGACAGATTGCTAAGAAGACTGTATTATTTGGGATGCAGTAACACAGGGAGAAGTATCAGCTCATATGAGTTACAGAACTTAGATCGACTGGACCCACTACTCACCCAATATATGAAACGGTCAATACTGTAAAGTTAGATTACCAAAGGCTCGAGCGGGCCCAGTATCGTCTCCATTGGAGACTTTGTTGCTACTGTGTTTGGCATATTGAATACCAAAAGTTCAAGGTTATATTTTAATGAAGTATCATGAAAATAAGTTATTAGAAAAGAAGTATCAAAGTTGGCATAGTAGGATGGAAGATCTGGGGTCAGGATTTAAGAGACAGATAAACTAAAGTCTGTCAAAGTTAGGGAGTTGTTTAGTATTTACAAATACCATAAAGTGAATTATCAAAAGAAAAATAGTATTTGGTCCCTAGGAAATTTCCAATCAAGCTAGAAGTTGAAATGATAAAAGGATCTAAAAGTTTTACGTATGGATACTGAAAAGAAACAATTTCAGATATTAGAAAAAGGATAATCTAATTGGTTGAACACTAATGAAATGATGTGGTGTGGAGGTAGGTGGGTAGGGGAACAGGGGCAAGAGTCTACTATGAAATTTACATGATTGTAAACTGTGATTTGTATGTAAGCGGTAGATATCAGATGATGCTAAAAGAGAGGGCTGAGGGTGTGAGTCAATCAGAGAGAGTATGTCTTACATGCATAGGGGCCCTAGGTGGTGTGTGTGTGGGGAGAGAGACAGGGTGAGAGAGGAAGAGAGACAGAAAGAGAGAGGGGAGAGAGAGAAAGAGAAAGAGGAGGGAGAGAGAGAGAGAGAGAGAGAGAGAGAGAGAGAGAGAGAGAGAGCACAAAGGTATCAGGTTAGGAACAATGACTGACTTGCTTACTTTGGGCTCCCATGAGGGCTGAGGGTAACTAGGCTAAGAGAGGCATGAAAAATGGAATGAGAAGGTTAATTGGGATGGAAGCTCCAGCAGGAGCTACAAGAATGGACGAGGAGAAAATAGGCATTGATCAAGAAGCCACTACAGGAATCAACAAAACAGGCATTTGATTATTCCACTCCAAAAACCCCCTGCTAAAATATAGGGTTCAAAATTAATAAGCCAAACAGAACAGCAGAAAAAGTTTTCAAAAAGAGGAAAGGAAATATAAAATAGACACTAAAGAGATAAAAGAGAGAGAAAAATCAACAAAGCCCCAAAATAGCGTCCAAGAAAGAGATAAAGATAGAAAGCCAAATAAACTAGATTTGCAATAAAAAAGTAAACAGCCATAACACCGTGGAGATTAAACAGATAATACAAAGATATTAGGATGATTTATAGGACAAACATTTTGTACTGTGGGAAAAAATATCTTTCCATATCACTGTCTCCAAAAGACATTTCTTATCCTTTCCTCTGTGGAATTAACACAAATGCTATTCTTCTTCCATCAAATATAGTATTCTCCTTCTGTAGCACTTTCTTTATATAAAAATTACATTTTTTCTTTTGGGCAACACTTTGCAGTACTAGGGGCTTATTTCTGGAACAGTGCTCAGGAATCACTCCCGGCATTTCAAAATTACTTTTTAAAAAACATAGCAAAAAAAAAAAAACCCAAACATAGCAAACAGGAGCAGAGCCAAAACACCAATTACTTAA